GGGGGGGGGGGGGGACCCAGTACCTCAAAGGGTACAAAATCTCCATCTCAGATATCTGAGAAAGTACTGTAATGGAGATCAATTATTTAAGTTCTCACCAGGATCACAATCCTTGGAATTTGACAGTAACTAGATCAGACAAGGAACTGGGGTGGCAGTAGGGAAGCAGTCTCATACAATACAAAATCCTACAAAAGACACATGGCAGAGATAATGCCTGCTCCACAGAAAACAAAAACAAACCCAAAAGTGTTTCACAACAGTAAAAATGGAAATTTCAGAAGTCAACCCAATAGAAACATAGCTTTCATATTCTTGACTTTTTGTTACAAAGAAGTTGTTAGATAGTTAAAAGAAAACAGATGTATGTTAATACACATTTAATAAGGTATCAGATAAACTCAGCTCTTCTTTCTGATATTTTTCTATAATTCTGCACTGGAAGAGATGAAAGAAAATGCCTTTTTGTGGATCTTCAATCCACCCATCTCCAAGCCTCCCAGTTTATCTTCACTGTAGAAACAGAATTTGGAATCAGCTCTATCCCATATTAATTCAAGTAAAAAAGAACTGCTGGCAAAGGTGTAAGGAGAAAAAGGTTGGATGTATGCTGAATCAGGTACAAAACTAGAAATGTGTGTGTAACTTCCAGTTCCAATGGCCTGCTAGATAAATACACACAAGAGTTCCTCAACCTATCACTTTTCAGATATGTTGGATCAGTTTCTGTAGTCTTCAGCCAGAAGGGCCAAAGGCCATGCTGCCCAGAGGATTACAGCAGCTGGAGTCCAACTCATCTGGAACTCATCAGGTTACAGCAGTTTATGCTAAACATCTGCTAATGGTCATGTTGGTGGATTATGGAAGTCTAACACTTCTAGGAAGCATCAGTCTACAGAAAGTGATTTTAGAATGTGGCTACCAAAGCATGACACCAACGTAGTTTGCCATGACACCAACGTAGTCTTCTGTTCCTGCTGCGGGCAAATTCTATGTACCCCCAGGGCAAGTAATCCAAACAAGTAAAACATTGAAGTTGGAATGGCTAGAAAAGCCTAATTTGGGGGAGGGAACGCTAGGCTCTCATCTCTATGTAAAGCAGCCACAAGAGAGGGCTCACTTTATGTTAGCCCATGTTTTTGGTATACAGCTATGGCTGAACAGGATAGTTGAACTCCAAACAAACCTGGGGTTGGTTTGAATTGGAAACTGATCTCTCCTGCTCTGGTGCTCTGTTTTTGTGTTTGCACATTATGCTGATTTTATTTTGTTAATCATGATGTGTGAACAGGGCCAGAGTGTAATCCTACATAGTCTATTTGGACTCACTGAGTTCAAAGGGACATATCTCCAAGTAAGTGTGTATAGGATTGCAACCTTGTGGTTTGAATACTTCCATTAATTCACTTCACTTCCCCATGAATAATGAAATACCACTGGGAAGCAAATTGCAACATATAAAAGGCTATGGCTACAGTCCCCTCCTCCCCCCCAAAAAACCCCAGAGCAATTTAAGCCCATGCATGCTTACATTTGTGTTTCACTGTGCTCTAGAAATTTTAAGAAAGATTTATCTGAATACATTTAATGGATTATCTTGAGAATCTTAAATACACAGTGACAAATGTATAATGAGTAATTAATGGAAATTATTCATGAGTCAGTTCAACAATGCAAGACATCACAAACCCCCAATGCTCAACCAGTATCTTCTAATGCTGAGGCTATGCCATTTTTAAAATTTTCTTTACTGCTAGAAGAAAGGTGAGCAGATCTCAGGCTTGTGGAACCTTTTTAATTTTTTTTTTTAATGAGAACCCAAGATTCACCAAGCAGTTTGGTACAAAAGATATATACTTGAACTATGGAATATTAAGTCCAGGGAATTATTCTGAATAGCTGGACTGATAGAACTCAGGGTCTCTCATAACAAAAAACAACTATTATTTACCCTTTGTTCTCTTCATTTCAGTAATATAATTAATATGGAAGTTTGTTACTTATTTTGTAATTACTATACTTGATAGCTGACAGTTAAACATCTATTAGCCCTATGAGGTAGTCCAGATAAGAAGCACAACCAGGAGCATCAGCACTATCTTTATTGTAAGGTTACTTTAAACAGAATCTTGCAAGACTGAAAGTATTTCTCCCCTCCTCTCTTTCTAGTCTCTGGAAAATTAGGGAGGATCCCTTCTGAAACACTTCCCATGCTTTTCTCCCACCTGCAGACTGAGCTGCCTCTTATCAGACCATTGCCTAGCCTGTGAATCTTCCTCCTGTCTCCCAAGATCATTCCCACATACCATCACATCATCTCCCTGAAGAGTTAGCAGAAGATCTACATCTACCCTTGGCCCATGCTCAGTGCTAGAAATGGTCTAGCTCAGAACAGAAGTAGGGACAACAAGCCACACTGGTTTCAAGCAGGCATGTTACGGGGCTACATACCACTAGCCAAGTTCAAGTATGTAACCTCTAACATGTTTGTTTGAAGTTTCACTCATAGCTTATTCTAAAATGTTCCCACCTTCTACGCTGCAGGAAGTATTTAAAATACCCTGCATTTGTAATGATTGTTGCTGTTTGGAAGCTTCATTGCACAGTGAGAGGTGGAAGTATAACAGGGATCCCTGCTTGAGAAAAGGAGTAGCCTCAACCAGCAGCAATCTTTTCAGGAAAATGCTCCATACTCATGAACCAGAAAAGAAACTGGTAATTAAATAGGTAACCTCACTCCATTTGGCCTAGAGATCAGACATATCACATATTGATGCATGCAAATGGTATGGATTATTGCTACAAGACAGAGCCAAAAGTTCTAGAAAGACAGCTATACAGTGTTATTTTATGTTTGGAGGGCACAGATGTTTCAAGGTTGCTCTCAAAGCCAGCTCCCTTCCTCTGGAGTTAGGCGTTTAGGTAAGCCTTCTCTGGCCTGTGTGGAAAGGCAACGCAGGTTAATGAGAAAAGTGAAAAATTTAGATATGAGAATTCATATCTAAGTTCAGTTTTGGGAAAACTTACAATATTTTAACAGGAAATGTGACATTACTATTTATTAAAATATGAACAATTAGGTAGATATAAAAACTCACCAAGGAATCAGAGTATTTTCCAGCTCTTTTTTGTTCAAAACAGCGGATTTTTTCTTCACTCATCTTATCTGAGTCAGCCAAAACATAATGCCTGGGAGAGTATTTTTGGGAAAGGCTGTTAAGCAGCCTTAAGATTTCTGTAGTGTGCCCTCCTGAAAAATATAGTATCAGAGTTAGTTTATGTAAGTTACATTGACTTTAGAATGATAACTGAGTTATTCACCAATTCTCCATTTTTCTTGGAAGCTATTTATTATTAGGACTGTTTTTATACTGTATTTTAATTGATTTTATCCTTGCTGTATTTTATCCTTGCCCAGAGTCGCTTCAATGAGAAGGGCGGTGACAAATTTGATATAGAAATATAAATAAATAAAATAAATAAAAAATGTTTTTCATTCTGCTGATTAACCTCCAAACAGGCTCGCCCCTTTGTTGGCTGGATTTTACATATCATATTTATTCATGATTAACTTAAGTACAATTTGTTGTTTTGCCTGACCGCTGAATTGTAAACTAACCACAAGATGGATTTGTACAGTAAGCTAAACTATGTGGTGGGTTAGTTTGTGGTTTACTATGTTGTCTGAAACAGCAAGACCAGGCAAGTAATAGTTGCTACTGTGTCCAGTTACTCATCTGTCCTTTTCCACTCCGATTCTCTCTCACTATTTGCTAACACTTTCTCTTTGGTTAATGGAACAGAATGACTGGGCCAAGAGTGACTGGGCCAAAGAGAATGGAGAGGATGACCCACCTCACCTGGTTTGTTTCACTATGTGGTAGGAAGAAAAGGAGCAAATGGGGGAGGGGAGGGAGGGAAAAGAAAGCAAGAGGTGGCAAAGCAGATTCCCCTTTGCTTGTCATCAACTGCTCTTACTAGATGGTGTGGAACACTAGCCAATGCAGAGAGACAGTGCAAGTGAATGGCCATGTAATGCTAAGCTATGGTTTGTTTTAACCAGTTTACTGAGTAAACTATGTTACTAGTGGTGACATCAAACTAAGCCATAACCTGTGGTTTACAAAATGCAAAGTCTGGGTTTACACATCATGCTGAATCAAAATCAGACAAACCACATTATGTGTTAGTATGATGTGTGAACTTTACCAGCAAGTAACAAAGCAAGAGCTGCTTTTTTTTTCTCCCGAGCAAGAAAAGAGGACCAAATACCAGCCAGCACACTGCTTTCAGGCAGAAATTTCTTCCTGTCTCAGTGGAAGAGAGCAGAGGTAGGCTCTTTTCTTCCTTACAAACTTACCTACTGCCCAACCTCAAGAGAAAGGCAGTGGTAGAGGGCAGTTTTTAGAGGCTTTGTTGTTTTATAACTTTGCTGCAGGGCAAAGGAAATTTACTGGCATTTACTCTGCTTTCCTTTACAATATGAAAATGTTAAGCATCCTTTTTCAAACACATATTTAATGTAACTTGTAGGTAAGCAGGTAGAGATGCCCCTACTCAGGTGCCATTGCAACATTTCCACCTTAGTACACCTGTAGGGTATCAGACCAGACCAAGGAACCAGAGCGGTGTAGTAGCCATAATATTGGACTAAAACTGGGGACAGCCAAGTTCAAGTTCCTCTGGATCACAAAGCTCACAGAGTCACTCTGAGCTAGTTGCCTCCTTTGAGGTCCAATAGCTTTGATCTCCTAGAGGAGAAGCAGAACACAGCTGAGATAAATAAGATCTCCCTGGCTCAGGGTCCTTTTCCAATTCCTTCTTTACCCGCTCTACAATTTCACTTTGTGGGTTGAGCTGCAATCTCACGCTATTAACAGTTATTCTCAAGGAAGAATTAAGCTTTACGACTGGAATTAAAATTACGAATGGAACCGTAATATTCTGCCTATAAAATATTCGACGGAAGACCCCTGATTCCTCTCTAGACAAATATCACCCAATTACAAACAAAACTTCGCAAATCTCTACAAAGAAACTACAACTTCCAGCATGCCTAGCAAGAACAGCCATCGGCACCAAGAACGCCTTGTTTCTGTAGTGGCTGCTTTGCTTTCTGGGTAATGTAGTCCGGATGGCCACAGCTATGCGTAGTAGTTCACCGTTTCTAGTTTTTTGTCTTACCAGAACCGGCTACCACCAGAAGTTTGATAGCAGCATTATGAGAGACAAAGCGTCGCTTCACAAACCGCAGGATGAGAAGCAGCAGCAAAGGGAAAAAGGAGACAGTGACGCCCAGCGTTGTCCAGAACAACGACTCCATATCCAGGCCATCATTCACTAAAACTCTACAGTGCTGCAATGGGTGGGAGGGGGGATTACGGGAGCCGAAATAGTTCAAAATACTGCAGAATCGTTCTGCTGTTTGTTTTTCTTATCCCATCAAAGTGCTTTCTTCACCGCTCCCTGTTTTTCGCAAGCGTTGATCATATATAGCTACAATACTTGTTTCAGAAAAGAAAATATTCTCGAAATTAATAAGACAGCAGACAGTCCCACCTTCCTAGTGTTTTTTTTGGTACTTCTTTGCTCCACAATATTGACATATGTTAAACATTAATATGTATTATTGCATCCTAAATAAGTAAGGTATAGTTTACAGGGTATATGAAATGGACTGTGGAGAAGTAGACTTTTCTTTTTTAAAAATATAATTTTTTAAATTAAGAATGTTAATTACAATAGTTAAAAACTATCACAGACTAAACCTGGAGACAGAAGAGAATGGAAAGAAAGCATTAAAAATGCAGGGAAAAAAAAGAAGAAAAAGAAAAGAGAGAATATAATAAAGAAAAATAAAAGAAATTACTTCCATCTCATCTTGGGGGAGGGAAGAGGGGAGATGCTCTTCCAAAGAAGGGGAGCTTTGACAGAAGGCTGTTCCCTGGGATCTTTGGATATGGCATTCTCTTGAGGGACCAAAGAGAGCCACTGTTCCAGATTTTTTGGATGGGCAGAAACTAGTGGGAATGGATAGCCCCAATGATATCCAGGCTCTGAGGCATCTTGGACTTTTTAGATGACAGTCAGCACCTTGAATTGCACTGAAAATAACTGGTGTACCATGCAGATCTCCAAGCAGAGCTGTTACATGGGAATGTCTACTCAGATTGCTGCATTCTGGCCCACCTGAAGTTTCTTAGGGGCCTTCAAGGGCAGCCACATGTAAGACACATTACAGTAGTAAAAATGAAAGGTGACTAAGGCATGTCTTCCAATCTAGGTAAGGTCATAATTGATGCTCAAGTTGTAATTATGTGAAAGTCTTTCTACACACAGCAGCTGCCACCTGCTCTTTGAGCAGGAGCTAAGAGTCCAGGAGGACCCACAGATTATGAACTAGATCTGTCTCGAGTGCTGCAACCCCAAACAAAACCAAAGATTCTGGTATTGGTATTCTGCCATTTTGTCTTGCTTTTATGATAGCTTGTTGTTACTATATTTTTATCCTGTCCTTCCTCCAGGAAGCTCAGGACAACATAAACCATTCCTTCCTTCCTTCCTTACTCTAGTCTATCCTTAAAAGAATCTTGAAACATAGGTTATGCTGAGAAATAATGACTGTCCCTAAACCAAGTCCTATTTTTTAAGACCTAGCACAGTGATGAGTCACCTTTTGATGGCTATAGGCTGTGCTTAAAAGGGATGTGGAATGAGGGCCCCAAACTTGTTGGGCCACATCATCACAGTTGAAGGGGAGATGAATTTGGGGGCATTTTCTTGTTTTGTAACTGTGATGTACCTGCTTTTGGCTTACACTATGTTCTTTATCTATTTTTCACCTCAAAGTAGAGGAAGCAGTCATAAAGGAGGTTGTGAAGGCCATAAAAAGGTACTTGTAGGCCATGTGTGTAGTCCTTGTTTAGTGACCACAATTGGGACTGGCAACTCAGTCGTTAAGCAAAGCAGTCGCTAAGTGAAACCAGGACTGTGCTTATGATCTTACTTCAGCTTTCCTTTGCTTTATAGACCTGTGAAGGCTGTAAATGTGAAGACTGGCCGCAAAGTGCTTTTTCATCACTGTTGTAACTGCGAACAGTCACTAAATGAGTCAGTTGCTAAACAAGAACTAGCTGTAAAAGCAGCAGTATTTGTTACCATTGTACCTGTGGCAGGAAAGGGATTGCTAGTGGGGGCAGCATGATTTTCTGCTGGCCAGCAGGTTAAGGATGAGCCCTAAAGTGCACTGTTACAATAGACGGTGCTGTAGTAATTAAGGGCATTTGCTCCTGAAGAAATGATCTTAGAGTTTGCAAATGTTCTGTTTTTTAAAAACAGCTGAAAAAAGTGGAGAATCTATAAATATCTGTTTTAAAAAACTGTTCTTTTTCAGATGTGAAAAACAGTGTGATCCAACTCCAATGTTCCATTGTCTCTCCAGAACATTCTGTTTTTTCCTGGATCAGGTCTGTTCAAATTTTCTGGGCATGTTTATTTCTCAGTTTCCAGCTATATCATTTTGCTTGCTTGCTTATGTGCCATCAAGTTGTTTTAGACTCCTGGTGACCAAATAGACTTTCTCCATGGTGATCTGTCCCTACCCTGGTCTTTCAGGGCTTCCAATGGTGCACTTACTGCCACTGTAACTGAGTCCATCCACCTTGCTGCTGGTCATCCTCTTCTCTTTCCTTCCCACCTTTCCCAGCATTAGAACCTTCTCCAGAGAGCTAGGTCTTGGCATAATGTGTCTGAAGTACCATTATGAACACAAGTAGAAACTTATTATTTGACCCCCTTGGAACCTTAGAAGGGACTTGAATCCTGTTTTAGTTTATAGGTTAGTTGTTTTTCCTTCATTAAAGGCTGCAAGACATGTATGGACAATATTGGGAAGGAAATTCAATTCAGTTCTAATTCTCATAGGATTGATTGATTAATGTTATGGGATAATCCCAGTCTGAAAATTGCTGGTAAATCTGGAATTCATGAGCAAAAAAAGAGTTGTTAATATTTTGGATCAGCCCATTAAAAACCTGTGATGTTTTGCAAAAAGGATTTGCTTTGCCTAAAACTGCTAAATGGCAATACTTATATTTTAATCATCTTTTGATGTTACAGTTTAAGTTTTATGCATTAGCAGTGCCTGAAATTGGTGATATTATTGGAAAAAAATTTGGAGGCTCCCAAATATGTACAACTGAAAAGTAGTGGTAAAACAGACACTGAAAACCTGAATATCCTGTTTTAACAAATCAGTAGGCTAGAATGTTAAAGAATATTAGTGTCTTATGATTTTAAGATGAAATTAAGTCAACAAGTAATTCTTTTTTTGTATTAGGCACTCCAAAACATGTGCTATAAAGATTAGTTTTCCAATTTCTGTATGCTGGAATCTCTTGAAGAACTTTGGAATTATAGTGTATGGATTCATGGGTGAATGCCAAGGTGCCATGTGATGAAAGTTCATCATGATATCATAATGCAAATGCCATGATTACATACTTGTGTCAAACACTGAAATTCAAATACGTGGGGCAGCAATTGCATCACAATGTAAGATGTGTCATTTTGGCATCATTGTGTTTTGCTGTAGACCCTGCTGTTTGGGCTGCCACTAAAAATATTACTTTATATTGGTGAAAAGACTATACCAGATCTAAAGTTGTGGATGGAAGACATGTATTCACTTTCTCTACATGAGTTGGCTTTCTATCAACTTTGCAGAAAGTCTGATCTGTATTATTCCATGTGATTATGGTTCAATTTGTTGTTTAAGAACTGTGCTTTTGTGAGGTACAGTATGTATGTATGTATGTGTATATATATATATATATATATATAGAGAGAGAGAGAGAGAGAGAGAGAGAGAGAGAGAGAGAGAGAGAGAGAGATCATTTTTGTTTGTGGGTTTAAAAAAAATTCTTTTAATGTTTGTTTCTGGTTAATGTTTTTCTTCTCTTTGTTTAGACACTAAAATCAATCAGTAATAAATTCATATCTGTTTAAGGAGTACCCTTCTAGCAATCCAACACCAGAACTTTTTTTTCCCCAAACATTTTGTTTTTCCCTGGAACGGTCCATTCCAAATGTTCCAGCAGTGGTGTATGCAATTACAAACGTGGATTATCTGGAACAGAAAGTGGTTCGTGGTGTTCAGAACATCTTTACTCAATACTTCCTCCTCACAAAAATTCACAACATATACACATACACAAACACACTTATGAAAAACAGACATTTTAATGCATCTTAACAGCTGATTGGTGAAAGCATTGGCTAGACATGTGAACATTTGAAATAAAATAATTGGAAGCTGTATGCCTGAAGTGCAGCCTTATCAACCTTTTGTTGCGTTAGGCTTTTATTGCCCCCTAGCCAGCATGGCCAGTGAGAGGAGCTGTAATTAGATAGGCAGGCAGGCAGGCAGGCAGGCAGGCAGGCAGGCAGGCAGGCAGG